CAAAACTGCCGAAGAAATTCGTCAGTATACGTTTTTAATGTTTATTAGTCTTTTTTTATTTTTAATAATATGTGTCTAATTACCAGTGGAAACTTAGCTGATATATGTAATTTTGTATAATTATATCCCATAAGTTTATCTTATTGTTTGTTTCCCTAAAATCAAATAAAATAACATACATACATTGCAAATGAAATAATAACTTGTAAAACTTTTTGCATTCATTGTATATATAAGAAACAGTCATGACGGGCAGACGAGAAGTGTATGATATAAAATATATTAAATACTTTATGATCTCTCAGTAAAACATAAAATCTGGACCGCGTTATGTACAGATTGTAAGTTCTAATCTTATTAAATGTATGTAATACATCTATCACCCTTAGCGTGGTTATACATTCAATAATATCATATAATAAGTTTGACATCACCAACCCTACTTGAGCGAGCGTGGTGATTAATGTTCAATCCTTCTCCATGTGAGAAGAGGGTCAGCAGTGGGCTCTGATAGGATGATGATGATGGAAACATCTCATATAATCTCCTATATTATGAATATACATTGAATATATTCATATAATTATATATTCCCAGGTCGGTGGTAGAAGCCAAAGCGAGGTTGGCGGAGGTGGCGCGAGCTCTGAACAGCACCGAGCTGGGTTCAGACTTGAGATCCTGCAAGAGACTGCTGCTACTACACCAGGTGGGAACATCACATACTAGCTGTTTACTGCGACTTCATGCGTGTATTAGGTATTACTCAGATGGTGATTAATGTGTATCTAATATAACGGATGTCATTATGAGTTCTAAATTGCTTTATAGAAGAGTTTTATCAAAATCAGTTAGGATAATTTACTTGTCAGACCAACATATATCCATACATACCTACTAGATATACTATATAAATATATATAGTATTGCTTTTCAAATTATTATCTGTCGTAGTTATGCCAGCTAACTGATATAATTTAAAGTAACTGTCAGTGTGAGAGTGATGATGTGGTTTTAAAGATTTCTTTTTTTGCCGAGATTATTTTTATAAAATCAAAGTGTAAAGAGCTAATTGCTGGTGCTTTAATAACTAGATTTAAACTAAGGGCTCCTCAGGCGAGAAAACAATTTGTTTTAAAGTAAAACAAGTAGAATTATATTGTTTAGAAATGTGTATTGATAAAAACAATTATTGTTTACAGAAAAATGCGATTTCGTCCTTGTTGTATTTACTAGAACATAATACAGGGTGGGCCATGAATTAGTTAACATTTGAAATAATCATTAAAAAAAAACTATTTGAAAAAATTTAAAAATTGCTTTATTAAAAGAAAGCTAATTAGTTGGAAATTATTTTTAAAAAATCATATCATCTAAATGACCACCATTTCGATTTTTACACTCTTCTAAGCGAGCAACGAAATTTTCGAATACTCGTTCGCACAGAGACCGTGAGATCGTCGATATCTCTTCGCTAATTTTTTCTTTTAGTTGATGTAGTGTATTTGGTTTATCGATGTAGACACGACTATTTAAATAACCCCATAAAAAGAAGTCAGCTGGGGACAGATCTGGACTTCTGGGTGGCCATGGAATGTCACCTCGTCTGGAAATCAGCCTTTTCGGAAACATTTCTTTAACCACCGGCAGGGATTCGTTGGATGTGTGACAAGTGGCTCCATCTTGTTGAAACCATGTGTTACGATTGTAGTCAGAAAATTCCAGTAGCATCGGTGCCAAAAACTCCCGTAACATTTTCACATACCGAGTAGAATAAACAGTAACTGAACGGCCGTGAGAATCTTCAAAAAAGTAGGTTCAATTATTCCTTTTGCTGAAATTGCAGCCCATACAGTTATCTTTGGAGAATGAAGTGGCCTTTCGTGTTTAGCTTTAGGATTGTCACTGCTCCAATATCTGCAATTCTGTTTGTTTACATGTCCGTTAAGATGAAAATGGGCTTCGTCAGAAAATAAGAGGTTCTCAAAATTACTGAATCGATCTAGCAGTTTCAGCATAGGACTTGCGTAAATTTAAATCATTAGGTTTTAGTTCCTGCACCAATTGGATCTTATACGGATGCAATTTCAAATCTAACTTCAAAATACGGCGTTACGATGTGCGGGATAATCCTAATTCCGCCGAACGTTTGCGCGTCGATAAACCTGGATCACGACGAACAGAAACTTGCTGTACGTTCTCTTCGCTCCGAGAAGTCCGTAGGCCGCCGGTTTGCTTTACATTTAGTGTAGATCCCGTCTCTTCGAACTTCTTCACCCATTTCTTTATTAAAGGACCACTCGGACACTGACTTAAGTCGTGTAAATCATATTCACCACGAAATAAGCGTCTCACAGTAATAAGCGAATTGTTGTTTAAATAAAATTGTTTCACACAGTAAGCGCGCTGCGGCCCCGTGAAGCGATCCATTGCTACAACATTTCCGAGAAACGAGCTAGTGACAAGACCCCTCCCCGCGCCCCGCGCGGCATTTATTTGCGTAGGGTATTAGATTCAAATGTTAACGAATTCTTGGCCCACCCTGTATATCTATATTTATATAATATTCAATAGTGACATAAATGTCTACAGGCTCTGGAACAAGAGTTGAGTCAATGCGAACAACGAGCGGAGTCCCTTACAGCCCAGGGCTCCGACCTGGTCTCCAGTGGTCTCTTCGACGGGGCGGCCATCGAGAGAGACTCCGCTGCGCTGCTGCAGGCCGCCCGGGCGCTCCGCCCTCGAGCGGCCGAGAGGAGACAGGCGCTGGAAACTAGTCTACAGTCAGTATACGATATTACTAAAACAAAATATGATTCAATACAACATTATATAAGAAATGATTAACGGTTGACGGAACAATATATATGTACATATGTAATACATATTACATATATATACAGGGTGACTGGTGAATTACTATCGATACTTGAGGACGTGATATTTGACGATCATATATGACAAAATAAAAATTAATATAACATAAATATTAATAAACTTCTAAGTAAAGTTAACCAAAAGTTATGTAATAAATTACGCATCGTGTGAACACCCTACAGATTAGGTATACACACACACTCACACATACGCGTTTGGGGGCGTGGTGTTGTATCAGCACGCCGCCGCACGCGTCCACACTTGGAACACTTGGAACGTGTCAACACTTTATTTATTTATACGGAAATTTGGTCAAAAATTAAGTGCCTATTTTTTTTACATAATTCGAATGAGAATCATGTACCGAGTATTCTCCTTAAATATTGATAGTAATTCACCAGTCACCCTGTATAATTGAGCCGGAACGGGTATAAAGATTAAAATATTTACTGTAAAGGGCCATAGATCTATTTTAAATCAAAAATGTATTAAAGTTATTTAACTGGATAAGGATTCTCCACTTATTTATGGATATCATTATACATACAAACCTTTCTCTTCAAACAATCTATCTTTTAAAAAAACTGCACCAAAATCCACTGCGTAGTTTTAAGTTATTAAGAATGCATACGGATATAGGGACAAGAAAAGCAACTGTTTTATAATTTATGCCATATTAGCTGCGCCCCGCGGTTTTACCCGCGAATTTCCGAGTTTTCCCGGGATGTAAAGTAGCCTATGTGTTATTCCTGGACGTCAGCTTCCTGTACATAAAATTTAATCAAAATCGGTTCAGCCGTTTGAGCGTGAAAAAGTAACAAACATACATTTTCCTATTTATTCATTAGTCTTCAATTGTACCTAAATAATGTAGCACCTGACAAAAATATTGTTTTTGTAATGATTATGCCGTGACACATACTTAGGAATATAATCAAGCTTAAAATAATTTTAGACTGTAACTCATATGTAATCCGGATTACATTCTGTTTGTGTGAATAAATAAATAAATAAATACATACACACTCACAAACTTCCGCAATTATAATATTAGTAGGATAGTAATAGTACATAATCAATTTGAGGACTAATTTTATTTATCCAAATCCTCCACAGACCACACAAGTTCGCTGCCGAGGTTTCAGGAGAGCTCCTTGTAGCTTGGGTGTCGGAGCGCTAGGCCGCCGCTTCATCTGCCACGCGCAGAAGAAACACGCCAAGCTGAGGGCGGAGCTCGAGGGGCGGAGGCCTGTCGTGGAGGGGGTGCTCCAGCGGGGCAAGGAGCTGGACACGCATCCACAGGTGGGGAAGGTGGACTATATATATATATAACTCACATTCTCATGTATTAAATAGTAATGTTATGTAGTTATATGTCCCATTGTATTTGTAGTGATTATATGTAGGTATTTATTTCTAAGAGAGAAACACGCGTCCGTTCTGTTACATATCCCCAAATGCACCCTTTTCTGCTGACTCTATAGATCATTCCTGCCTCATCAGCATTCCTTCTCCTTGCCCCCGCTCAGCCATCCATCACACATTTCAGTCTCAATCCATCATCCATTAAAAACGGTCGTGTCTATTTTTCACACTAAATCTTTTTTTTAAAAACCCTTCAACCCTGAGGCTCATAACATTTTGGTGGCAGCGGTGGGATTCAAAGAGTCCCCGGAAACGTCTCTTCATTATTGAAAGTGTTAAATTCAGTGAAAAAGTGATAATTGTGAAAAGAACTCTCATATATATAAACTATTTCTACATCCTGGCAATTTAAATTACAAAATATTGAATAAAATATTTAATTTTTGCCAATAAAAGATAATAAATATACTCAATTCACCAAATTCGACGCGTCGAGAAACATAGCTCCGGTATTTGTTGAAGAATTCAAGAAACATGATCCTGCCTGTTATCGCTCTGTAAGTGAAAGCCTTATCTCTTGGTCATTGTCTTAATATTATACTCTATTATTGTTCAAACCTTTATATTAGTGATTTGTCTAGTTGTATTGCATTTTATATAGTGCTTTATACTGTCTGTTTGTATTTTATATTGTATTTAGAATTTCTTTTTGTTGTTTTGTCGTACTGTAAAATATTTTCTGTGTTTTGGGTGTATAAAAAATGGCCGAAAGTAGATCACAAAGCCCAAAAAATGAAAGACCGGAAATAGCTGTAACTGACACAGAGGACGATAGGGAAAGTCTTTGCCCCCCTCCTTCAGGACCATCAACTAGGTCCACGTCCAAAAGAAAAACACCGGTAACTAAACCCGAATTAGAGCTCTCAATCCTACTAAAATTTATTAAGCCCTATGATGGCCGGAGGGATACATTAAACTCATTTATAATTAATTGTAATAACGCGTATGAATTAGCATCAGAAACCCAGAAAGATATCCTTTTCAAATTTATACTATGTCAATTAGAAGGGAAAGCTGAAACCGCCTGCTCCATCAAGGAATTCACTAATTGGCAACAATTGAAAGAATTCCTTAAAACCCAATTCAGTGTCCGTAAACATTACGCTCACCTATTAACCGAACTGCAAGAATGCAAACAGAAATCAAATGAACCAGTTAGTCAATATGCCCTAAGAGTAGAAACTTGCCTTTCATCGTTACTAACAGAAATTTCGATCACACATGGAAACAAAAGCCGAGAAATGATAGGACGCACAGCAGCAATGGAAGAATTAGCCCTCCATCACTTCCAGATGGGGTTGACACCGCGTATCTCGAACATAGTACGATGTAAATCAGTTAAAACCTTAAATGACGCAATAAACGCAGCTATCAGTGAAGAAAAAATTCAGCAATCTCTTAGTAAAAACATAACTTACAACACAAACGATAACATCCGTCTTAATAAATTTTATAACTTTAAAACAAATGTTCAAAACAACAATAGAATTCCAAATCGTCACTATGTTTCCTACCCAAATCAAACAACTTCAAATCTTAATCGCCAGCATAATTTAAATGATCCCAAAAACATAATTTGTAGATACTGCAAATCTCCCGGGCACACCCTGGAACAATGCCGCAAACGTAAATTTAATAACCAACGGTTCAGAAATCACCAACAAACCCAAAATATAAGAATTCCCATTCAAACTATGCCTAATATGAATTTTATAACTGAAGAATTTAATGACGAAATACCTAATGAAGATCTTAATGATGAAAAAGGTTACGATACTGCGGATACTTTACCAAAAAACGAGTAAGAGTCTCGTCCCTGTGCCGAACGGGACTGCACAAGCCAAAAATCGGCACCCCAAAATCTAAACCGATTCCGCTACATGGCAATCCGAATACAATCTCACCGGCATCGTTATATGATTCGCCAAAATCCACTGTATCCGTGCAGAGACAGCAAAATGTTCGTCTGCCAAAATCCACTGTATCCGTGCAGCAACAGCAAAATGTTCGTCTGCCAAAATCCACTGTATCCGTGCAGCAACAGCAAAATGTTCGTCTGCCAAAATCCACTGTATCCGTGCAGCAACAGCAAAATGTTCGTCTGCCAATGTCCACTGTATCCGTGCAGCAACAGCAAAATGTTGATCTGCCAAAATCCTCTGTATCCGTTTCTCATAATGAAACAAAAATCTTCGAGATCACGACAGATCCAACTAAAGTACTTCTCCCTCATGTCATTATCAATTCATCCATTTCTGAAATTCCTTTAACTTTGCTAATAGACTCTGGCTCAGCAATTAGTTTAATTAAATCCTCTTGTATTCAGAAACCTGTAAAATTAATAAAAGAACAAATAGATTTGAAAGGGATTGAACCCGATAAAAGCTCTACAAAAACTTGTGGTCATTTTCCCTTAAAATTATATTTATCCGACTCTTTAAACAAATATGTGAGTCATAAATTTCATGTTATAAATAAAATACATTTACCTTATGACGGGATCATTGGAACAGACATGCTCAATTCATTCGGTTCCAATATTAATTATACTACAAATAAACTCCAAATAAATGGAATTCAAATACCGATGTATTTTAATGAACCAATCTATACTATACCTGCTAGATCCGAAATGATCATAGAATGCTCTGTTTCAAACCCCGAAATAAAAGAAGGGCTCATATTAGATCAAAACCAATTCAAGGACATCCTTATAGCTAACTGTCTAGTGAAAGTAAAAGATAACAATAGGATTAATATATCCGTTGTCAATTTATCTGAAAATCCTAAATCACTTAATTCCAATCTATTCTTAACCCTAATTTCAACCAACTCCAACACTATTACAGAAAATAGGTCCCCTGAATATTCTATAAATACCGTACAATCTTACGACTCACTTACACGTACCCAGGAAGTTCTAAATCAATTAAGAACTTCACATTTAAATAACGAAGAAGCCAATGCTCTCTTCGAGATTTGCTCGAATTACTCAGATATCTTTTATTTATCTGGAGATCCCTTATCTTTTACCAGCACGCTGGAACATGAAATCAATACAACTAACAATGAGCCAATACACGTAAAGTCCTATCGTTTTCCTGAATGTCACAAACAAGAAGTTCAAAATCAAGTTAACAAAATGTTAAAAGACGGAATCATAAAACCTTCTATGTCCCCGTGGTCTGCTCCCATTTGGGTTGTTCCAAAGAAGCTAGATGCTTCTGGACAGCGGAAATGGAGAGTTGTTATTGATTATAGACGCCTCAACGATGTTACAATTGGAGATTCATACCCAATACCTAACATTAACGAAATACTAGATCAACTGGGTAAATCCAAATATTTCTCAACTCTCGATCTAGCATCCGGATTTCATCAAATTAAAATGGCATCAAAAGATGCAGCAAAAACAGCATTTAATGTTCCTCAAGGACATTTCGAATTTCAACGGATGCCTTTTGGTTTAAAAAATGCACCATCTACATTCCAAAGACTAATGAACACAGTCCTCACAGGACTCCAAGGCACCAGATGTTTTGTCTATTTAGATGACATAGTAATATATTCGTATGACCTCAATTCACATATTAAAAATCTTGAGTTAATATTTAACCGTCTCAGAAAACACAATCTCAAACTTCAGCCTGACAAATGCGAGTTTCTTAGAAAAGAAGTTTCTTATCTTGGTCATCTTATTACAGATAAAGGTGTGAAACCTGACCCTGAAAAAATCAAAGCTGTGTCTAGTTTTCCAATTCCAAAATGTCCTAAAGATGTGAAATCATTCCTAGGCCTAATGTCGTATTATAGAAAGTTTATTCCCGATTTTTCACAAACAGCCAAACCATTAACAACGCTTTTAAAGAAAGATATTCCCTTTATTTGGCATAATGAACACCAAATAGCCTTCGAAAACCTAAAATCTCGTCTTATTTCACCTCCTCTTCTTATATACCCAGATTTTACAAAACCATTCACACTCACATGTGATGCTTCTAATTATGCTATCAGCGCCATCCTCTCCCAAGGAGATCCGAATAAAGAACAACCAATAGCTTATGCCTCTCGAACTCTTAATAAAAACGAAATTAATTACAACACTACTGAAAAGGAATTATTAGCCATTTTATTTGGATGTAAAACCTTTCGACCTTACCTTTATGGTCATAAATTCATAATAATTACAGACCACAGACCTTTAAAATGGTTATTTAACCATAAAGATCCAGGAAGTAAGCTACAACGGTGGCGTCTAAAGTTAGAAGAATTTGATTATGACATTCAATACCGCAAAGGAAAATTAAATTCTGCCGCAGATGCTCTTTCGAGATATCCCGTGAATCCTGTATATCCTGAAAATAATACAAACCCTATACAACAACAACAAAATCAAAATTCACCCGACATCATGGATGAATTACAAAGTCTTTTAATGTCCCCACCTTCTGCTGTTGAAAACCTTCTTAACCCTGAAATGGAACAAGAAGTTTTAGATTATTTTAGTTCTCTCAATAACGATACACCTGTCAATGTCGAACCTGATCCACAACCTTCAACTAACAGCCAAAATCTTGACACTTTACCAGTATCTACGAATCGTAGACCTCAACAATCCTTACCGTCTAAAAATCTACATTCTCCTAACGAAAACTTACCTCTACCCGCTGAATCAAATTCCAAAACAATTCAATCCACTGAAAACCAGGATAAATCGCCTGACGATGACTATAGTCATTTTCTTAAGTCCCCTACAAGAACATATAATACCACGATTAAAGAACACAATGAAAGCTTACTAAAATGCACACAAAATTTAATAATAATACCAACTTCGATAGACTTAGATGAATCTATGCCTTATGTACAAGAAGTATTTGATAATTGCCCCGAAAGTACTCGCGACGAATTCTTGAAGCTGGAAAGAGACTTATTCACTTCATTACCTCTCACATTCGATAATAAACACTATCTCTTCTTATTTACTAAAGTACATCACTTTGACAAATTTTCTTATCCAGATATATACAAATCCTTAAAATTCTCCCGCGACCAAATATTGATGACTTACCCAACAATCAACGACGTCGGCATATCAGATTTTAAAAATCCATTCGATAAACATTCTTTTGTAAAAATATATAATATGTTAGGCTACTTATTCGACGGAACTAACATCAAAATCCATATTTACCATGATAATATAATTTACCCTTCCCCTAGTGAAATCCCAAAAATCCTTAAAGAAAATCATGACCTTCCTATCGCAGGTCATTTAGGTAACCTTAGAATGTATAACCGTATACGTGAACGATTTTATTGGAAAAATATGAGAAACGATGTTGAAAATTATATCCGTAAATGTCAGTCATGCCAATCCAATAAAGCCTTACGTCGAACAAACCGAGCGCCTATGATAATAACATCGACCTCCACAAGTCCTTTCGAAAAACTCTCAATGGATATCGTAGGTCCCTTACCTGAATCTGGTACTGCTCGACTCAAATTTATTTTAACAATGCAGGACGATCTTACTAAATATTCCTTAGCATATCCTATCCGTTGTAATACTGCAGAAGAATCCAGTGAATGCCTCGTACACTTCATATCTATGTTTGGTATTCCCAAACATATACTCACGGATCAAGGAACCAATTTCACAGCGGAACTATTCAAGAAGACATATGAATTCCTTAAAATTAAACAGTTGTGGTCGTCGCCATATCATCCGCAAACACAAGGCGCCTTAGAGAGGTCACACTCTACCCTAAAAGAATATCTAAAAACATACGTCAATGAAAATCAAGATAATTGGCCTCGTTATGTATACACCGCGATGTTAGCCTACAATACCTCAATTCATTCCACAACACATTATTCTCCTTATGAATTATTATTTGGACATAAACCACGAATTCCAGACTCTTTATATGACGACAACTCTACGGTAACTTATCCTGAATATGTTAAAATGCTTCAGCATAGAATGAAACACTCTCGTGAAAAAGCTCTTGAATTTATACACAAATCTAAACTAAGATCCAAAACTTATTACGACTCTCACAGTCGTCCAGCAACTTACAAAGTAGGCGATTACGTTATGTTAAAAAACCATCTCAGGCTGCGAAAAGCCTTATCACCCCTGTGGAAAGGCCCATACAAAGTGGTCAAAATACACGGGAATCATACTTTATCATTACTAATAAATAGACGACATGTAAGACATCATTACGATGAAGTCAAACACGTTGATGTTCAAATATCCCCTTCTACTTAAAATATTATTTTTATTCTTTTTGTATAGACTAAGTTATATTCAATAATTATTATTATGAATAAATAATTTTAATGTATCTCTTATTACAGCATTCTGGCTCAAGGTTATTGTCAAGAGTATGTTCACGAAATCAACTCGAGTCCTGGCATATATTTTGACCAAATCGGCGAACTTAAAATTAATATAGGTCATTTAGACATTGTAACCCCGATAGACATTTCTCATATTGAACCTCATATTAAAAACATTAATTCCATTTTAAATACAACTCGCCACTTATGTAAACAATTTATAAGCGAAACTTCGAATAATAATTTGGAATGTAACAATGTTCTAGAACCACTTACAATTAGATACAATGATATGGTTTCCGAATATTCTTCTATTACCCATTTAATAAGTAATAAAAGAGTTAAACGAGCCTGGATAGGAGGCGTCGGAACCTTGGCAAAAACAATTTTTGGGACTTTAGATGAAAACGATGCTATTATATATGATAATGCCATTCGAAACATCCAAGACAACGAAAAGAGAATAACATCTTTAATTAAGCAAAATGTATTAATTACTACTTCTTCTCTAAGTGTATTTAACGATACTTTACATAGAATTAAGCTTAATCAAATTGTACTCAATGAAGCTATCAACAAATTCTCTATTTCTTTAAATAATATTACTACTCTTTCAAATATTTTTGATATAGAAAATAATATTCATTCTATCCTCAATAGCTTAGAAGCATCAATTCTCACCTTATCATTTCAAATACAAGACATAACAAATGCAATTGTTCTCACTAGCAAAAACATTCTTCATCCATCAATTCTGCGTCCATCGCAATTATACCAGGAACTTGTTGATAACTACAGGTACTTACGCGTAGATTATAAATTACCTGTAAGCTTAACGATAAGTCAAATTCACGTATTAATGAATATTTCTAATGTAGTTTGTTATAGTTTAAATAATAAAATTATGTTTGTTTTAAGATTACCTCTAGTTTCCCCTAAGGAATATAATCTATTTCATACAATTGCTTTGCCTACTCCTTATCAAAATGTAAATCCAAATTCTTTTAGTTTTATAATACCAAATACGAAATATGTAGCAATGACCAAAGATAAGTCAGAATACTGCAACCTAGAATCACTCAAAGAGTGTAAAGCGATAAATCACCGTGAATTCATCTGTGACGTGATGACTGTGTTCTCTACGAGTGCAAACCCCAGTTGTGAAAGTGAAATTATGTCCAAAGTTGTTAATTCCCTGCCAAAACAGTGTAAAACGCAATTTATTTACGGAAATATTGACCTGTGGAAACCGCTCTCTAATAATAATTGGATTTTTGTGCAGTCGCAAGCTAATAAACTTTATATAGAATGTCAAGATAAAAATATAATTGAAATAAATATTATGGGAACAGGTATTTTAAATGTTCCTATCAATTGTGTGGCATATTGTAAATCTACTAAATTGATACCCAAATTTAATAATTTTGCAATTAATGTAACCTCCATAACATCCGATTTTAATATAATTAATGACTCTTGCTGTATTCTAGACAACTTTAGATTTAAGATTAAGAAAGAGTCTCCTATCGAATTAAATAACATTGACCTTGATATCTTTACAAAAGAATCGAAATCTAAATTAAATTCAATTTCATCTGAGGCAGATAAAATTTTAGATCAACATCCTATAATTCAATATGAGACTCATTATTCTATTTTGTTAATAATTATAATTTGTATCATTCTTTTATTTTGTATTTCTAAACTTTATCTTTATATTAAATCGACTGGCCGTTTTCCTTTTGCTTTCCTGAGACCTTCCATACCCGTTCCAGAAGACTCATCAACCCCACCAGCAGAAATACCTACCCCTGAAATAATCTCTTCTACCAGAAACAACGATAGTCGTTCTGAATCCAGAGATATCCCAGCTCCTTCTTTAAGAAGAAATATATAGTTCTCCTTCTCTTTTCCCTAAACATCGTATTTCAACCCCGATGTTTAGTCTTCCCCGGGGAGCTGTTACATATCCCCAAATGCACCCTTTTCTGCTGACTCTATAGATCATTCCTGCCTCATCAGCATTCCTTCTCCTTGCCCCCGCTCAGCCATCCATCACACATTTCAGTCTCAATCCATCATCCATTAAAAACGGTCGTGTCTATTTTTCACACTAAATCTTTTTTTTAAAAACCCTTCAACCCTGAGGCTCATAACAGTTCGATAGTGCAAAACTGACGCATAGTAAAACATGTCCATCCTACCAACGTCATAGTATTACACTTAAATTCATTCTGGATCTCCACACCATACCTTGGTTCATCTGAAATATTTTATACAGCATGCACAATTAAATTACTCTTGGACAAAGTTCGGCTGATAATTGAATTTTTTAAATATTTTTTGAGTGAATTCTTGAAGTAAAACTTCTTATGCGACTACCAACAAGGTTGCGTTAAACGTTCAACGAAGGGAAAGAAAGATACACAAATGTAGAAAGTAGGAGAGACATTGAGAGTAGATTCCAAGCACATGTGCATAGTACTGTTGCTTACAGCGAAGTAAACAGTGTGAACGCGACATTAACTGAAACACCAATTTGTATTATATTAATTTATGTATATACATATAATTCATTTCCTCAGTCAGTTGTGGCCTAGTGGTTAAAAATCCCGCCTCTCATGCAAGAGGGCGCGGGTTCGGTCCTGGCAAGCACCAATGTGATTTTTCCGAGTCATATGTACTTTATAAGAGTATTTAGACATCACTGATTAATGCATTCCAAAAGAGGTTTGATGTCAGGCAGGCGTCCGGACGTAAAAACAATTAGGCAAAACTATTCACACATCTTAGGCAGACCCTGGCTAAAACTGGGAAATTGCCAGGAAGAAGAAGATATATTTATGCATATACATATAATTTATTTCCCTACTCCACTCACTAAACTATAACGATCACATTCCAGATCAAGCAGCTGTGCCTGGAGCTTGAAGAGGCGTACTCCTCTGTATCATCAGCGGCGGAGAAGCGCGCGGCCCGGCTGGAGGCGGCGCTCAAGGCCCAGTAGTTCCAGCATGATGCAGCGGAAGTAGACTCCTGGCTGGCTGACAAGGCCGCCGCACTGGCTTCCGGTGACGTCGGCAATGATAGGCATAGAGCGACGCAACTACTCACACGGCAAAGGTAATATACAAATACATATATACATAGCTAAGAATTAGATTTTCGTCATATCACTAAATTTTTGAGCTACAAGAAATGATAAATCACTATATACATATGTATATGTAAGTCATCAAGTGACTTATGAAGTGAAAATTTATCAGTCATTGAGTAGGATCAAATATTTATAAAACATGTATTAAAAATAGGGGTTGGTGATAGAAGAGTGATAATTTAGGGTTGTATGTATTTTATAATGCCACATTATGAAAGATTGTCCAAAAAAAATTAAATAAGGTGTTAAAAGTGGGCCGCCCTTATACTTAGGGATATGAAATATAGAAAGTAGCCAATTGTTAAAATGATTGAATATGCATATAAAGTTTCATAAAAATCGGTTAAGCCGTTTGGCAGGAGTATGACATCTAACATATATATATGCACTTAAATCAGAAGAAGTTGTCATTATTTAAATTTCTAACACTTTCCGAATATATAAATAGGATATCCTCTAAAAATATGTGTGTCTATCCTTAGACATGAATATCTGGCTGAGAGCGCTGAGTTGGAGGAATGGGTTGCGAAGCTGCAAGCAGCCGCCTCCAGTGAAGACTACGGACAGGACTATAAACACTTACTGGTGAGTAACGATATGTAGATGATGATGATGATGATGATGAGAGGGTGCTCCAGCCATCACACTTGGTGATGGAGACATTATTCAGTTATATCTTCAAATACTAAGCTTGAAACTTCACGGATATCCGTTCAACAATCGTATTTTTAGAAACTAACGAATGAATGCTAAATTTCGTTGAAATTTAAGTCAATTTGAGCATTTAGTACGTAATTTAGTGTTTTTTTTTTTGTATCTCAGAAGGATGTGCAAAGATTAGCATGTCATAATATTAAATATACCTAAATGTTTACAGCTTAATTAAAATATCCTCCAAAATCATTTAATTATTTCTATAATCTAAGACATCATATTTCCCCAACCATAGATCTTTAGGTCCAAGTTCGAAGAGCTCCGTCACCGTGTAGAGAGTGGGGTGGAGAGGTTCAACCAGTGAGGAGCTGGCCAAGAAGCTGGTCGCCTCAGACAGCCCATACATCGCTGACATTGAAAAGAGACAGGAAGTGCTCGGGTGAGGGGAACTTGGAAAATGACCCTTAATTACATAACATAGGATCTTATTCAGATATCCAATATGTCCACATAAACTTATACCAAACAAAATTAGTTTTAACCATACATACAGATATAGAATTTAAATAAGACATTTCACAAATGCAAATAAATTTGTACAAGTTAAAATCAGACTTAATGACTAGATATGGAATTTAATTTAGACAAAGAAAAATGAGACTTAATGACATACACATAAGATCTAATTAAAAAATTCCACATGTCATTTAAAATAAGGCAAAATGAATTTTAATTACATATTTATAAGATATAATTTACATAATCCACAACTCAAATACAATTCATATATTCCAGCGAGTCCTGGCAGCGTCTGGTAGAACAGATCCAGTACCGCAGCCAGCGCCTGGCTGCTGCTGGCGAGATCCACCGCTTCCACCGCGACGCCGGGGACCTGCTGGCGCGGGCCGGGACCGCCGGGCACGCCTCGCCCCGCTCACCGCGACCTGCGCGACGCCACCGCCTTCTTGCGGGACTACGACGCAGCCGAGAATGATATGGTCGCTATAGACGCGCAGATGCAGGTACTACAAAACAATTATTATGGTTAAAGATACTTTATTTTTCTCAAAAAGAAATTACATTTCACTCACTTGAGAAAATTGTGCCTATAAACATATTATGTATTTTAAATTAAAACTTCGATAATCATAATAAATGTATCACTAGGTAGTTTAACATATTCTTACAATAAATTTTGCTTTAAACATGAAATTTAAAATATACACCCTCAAAGCAACAATAATTGTGTACAAAACAGTGATAAGAAATGCAAACTCATAGACACAGAATAACTATTACGATTGACTTATAATGAAATCTAAGATTTTAATCAGAAACTAATATTTATTGGATGAACGTTTTGATAAAAATTATTATTTCCGACGTTTCGTTTACTTTACAGTATCATGATCACGGGCAGACGCTATGATAAATATTAGTTTCATTTAAATGAATACTTGTCAAAATCTATTTCATAATATCATAGCTCCTCATTTAATGTAGCCTAATTCTGCCTAAATAAGATTTTAACTGATTTTTGCAGTATTTTATAGTTGTAGTAATATACTTCTTGGCCCGGGCAAGTACCAATGTGATTTTTCCGAGTCATATGTACTTTCTAAGAATATTTAGACATCACTGATTAATGCATTCCCAAAGAGGGTTGATGTCAGGCAGGCGGCCTGTCGTAAAAACAATTAGCCAAAACTATTCACTACATGTAAGGTAGACCCTGGCTAAAGCTGAGAAGTTGCCAGGTAGAAGAGATAGTTGTAGTGATATTAAATCTATTTCCAGGTGCTCCAGGAGGAAGGATCTCGCATCCAGCGGTTACGCCCCGGCGGTAACTCCCAGCAGATAGCGCTGAGCTGCAGACCTTAGGAGGAAACTGCTGCACCAACACCTGGAATTACAGACCTTCCTATCCGAGGTATTACTGTGGGATTTCACTATTATACAAAACCTTTATGATCTGATAGTGTTTTAATATATTGCTACATTTGATTAATCTATCTAATTTATATATATTTTTTCTTTATATACTAATTAATTATAATCGTTAATAATTAATCGTTAATAATTACGCCTATAAATAATGTATCCTTTATGATATTTTATTTTCATTAAGACATTATTATCACTTATATGAGAATTACACTTATAACAAAAACATTTATGAATATACAGTTCGACATCGCACTTGTAACAAAAATTAAATGAAATAAAGTTTAATTAAGAGATATTTTTCTATATTAAGCACTAATTTAATGGTTGTCTTAGTTTTGATTATTTATTATTTAATATATACTATCTGCCCCGCAAACGTTGTTTTGTCATATCAAAAGTAGGGGTTGGTGATAAAAAAAAATAATATTTAGGATTTTATGTATTTTCTTTTGCCACTTGATAAAAAAATAAAAACAAAACCTTTCGTCCTAATCAAAACAAAAATTAGGGGTGAACAGCCCCTATTACTTAGGGTATGAAAAATAGGTATTGGCCGATTCTCAGAGCCTCAGACCTACTCAATATGTTTACAAAATTTGATGAGAATCGAACAAGCCGTTTCGGAGGAGTACGGGAACGAACATTGTGACACGAGAATTTTATATATAAGATATATATATCATGAATATCGTTCCCCAGCTCCGTGACGTCATCTCGTGGTCGTCATCCCCAGCTGCCGCACGCTCAGCAGCAGCGGCACAGGCTCAGAGGGCTCAGAGGTTACTACACCCTGGAACAATATTATACTATGAAAAACATGTAAGCAATAGTATATGGGATCAAAAGTAATATTTTTTGTATTTATTAAGTGTGTATAGTAATTTTTTATAACTTAAATTTTTCAGGTAAAGTTTTACAGTTTCTTTCAATACTAATGTATATTTGTTTTTTTGAATCATTCGAATATAACTTATAGCACGGCTTAAGTGTTTTTCATAATGAATATAAAACAATTTTAAAAGAATGCTTTAATCACAATTCAAATAAAGATACCAAATATGTATGATATATCCGTTCTATGTATATTAACAAAAATGTGATGATAACTTTGTCTTAGCTAATTGGCTGTATTTTTGTCCAATAGAACTGCAAAACCAATTTTTATGAAAAAGATTACGTTAGATATCAATTGAACCTATGTGTTTTTAGTGTGACTTCTGACCTCACGATATATTTGTATATTAATCTTTGTACATATTAAGTATTCTCACTTTTGTCTTTGTTCAAAATAATTTTTGATGACAGTTTGATCAGTAAATAAAAATCATTTAATCTTAAATATTGTTGTTTGTTGGTTCTGAAAGAAGAAATCTTTCGAAAATGTCTAACATATTCTAAAGATTTCTTGCCTTCCAAGGTTCGTTACTTGTTTTCGTTTCGTTACATTTGGGAAACACCTGAAAAGGGAATAAAATTTAAGAACAGTAAAATCTGGTAAATTACGTAACTGCAATCAATTTCAAAGTTAAAGAAAAAGGAATTGTAAAGGTGGCTAAATAAAACTATGAACTATTTAAATCACTTTGATGATAAATTACAGACAGCTTTAATCGAACTTGTTTGAAATTTTCAGCTTTGATATGACGACCTAGCAAATAATAGTCACACAGAATTAAAACATTATCAAATAAAAACTGTTTTTATGAATTATATGTGAGAGTTCCGTCATTAAAGTCACTTTAGAGACGTCGTTGTGTAAACGATGTCACATTACTTTAAATATTTCACGAGTGACAAACAGATGTAAGCTATTTCATATCTCAACAACACTACTTACACTGGAAAACCAATTAAAATTAATTTCCTCATACTCGTATACCTACTACTAAAGTGATATCAGAACTTCCAATAACACATTTCACGAAGGAAATATTTTAAATACAAACACATATTTAAACTGTGATTGTTTATATTACGAGTAGCTACTCAAGCTATGTACTTACCGCTGTAAGTAAGAGGGAGACGATGGAATAATAATCACTGACGTGTTCTATAAATTTGGTTTTAGTTTCTTTAAAATTTTCCTTTTAAAATCAAACAATACATTTTTTTTCTTTGCTGTGTAATATTTGAACCATGAATATAAAGTTCAACACAAAAAAATAAATAACGCAATCTTCATCATCCGCCCTGAAAGTTTAATGATCATGTAACATCTCTGAAAGAACTTCAGCAGAAAACAGAACATT